AAGTTTTGGTAATTGCAATAATTGCACATTCAATATTAATATTCATAAGAGTTAAAAAGCTATTTTTTTAAATATTTCTTCATTTGTTAGTCATTTTGTTCTGTAAGAATTATAAATTTTTAAAGTTCCAATAAATTTATTTTTGTTGCTGTGTACAACTTTTGGCACATTTTACTTTTTTTCACTAGTGCGTAAAGTAAAGTACTTTTTTTTACTAGTGAAAAAAAGTAACTTTTATATTTCTAATATTAGTGGATTATGTGTACGGTAGTAGAAAAAATATTATATGCCACTCGTGTGTAAAGTCCCTTTTTTGACTCATGTGATTGTCGCACTCGCCTACGGCTCGTGCGACAACATTCACATTCGTCGAAAAAGGGTAACTTTACACACTTGTTGCATAAATAACTATTTTTACCTCCGTTATAAATAAAATTAACAGGTTTTTACGTTCATAAAATACGTAATTCCTAAATGGATAAAAAAACGTAAAGCAACTTTAATCACTTGTTATATACACAATTGTAATAAACGGTTACATGTATATCTGCAAACTTTCTACAAAAAAAACGCAAGTTAGGAACGCCAATTTAATTAAATAAAGATTAAGTTCTGTGTAAGATAAAGGAAAAAGAAAGAGGATATAAATAAAATACGTCGGTTCTGTTATTTTTAAGCAGACATGTGAAGATCAATGAGTATATTTTTAACCCATTTGTCAGTGTGTTTGCTTCCTTGCCACCTATAATCTACAAAGGATTGAACAGGCCCAATTAAAAAATAATTTCGATAATAGTTTTCGTTTTTTTTAGGCCATATTTTATTACTAAGAACCAAATTGTTTACAAAATGTATGAAGGGTGTTACATCTGGTCTTTTAACAAGGGGTCATCACGGAGATTTCAAAATAGAATCTACCCTACGCTATGACATAATTTATGTTATAATGACAAATGACAGTGAGTTTCTATTATTATACTCTTCAAACAGTAGTCTGTGAAGAGTATTATGCATTCAGTCCCGTCCGTCCGTCCAATGTCATTTATAATTTATAAACACTACGTACTAATTAATTTATTTATATTTGAGGCAGTATCTATATTTCACATTTTAATTTATTTTACAATTCACTTATACTAATTTATATCACATTTACTTTATCGATGTTCTCACTGCTATGACTGGACTTCAACTTGAACTGCAAACGCATATACGGGGACAAATCCTATTAATTTTGATAATCTGATAGAAAAAGGGGGTCAAGGGGGTTGAAATTAAAAAAATCATAAATTAAAAACGAAAAGCAATATCAACATGAAATTTTTAATAAAAATCTATAAGGAGATGAATTCTATTGATTCTGAATAAAAATTTGGAGTTAAGGGGGGTTAAAATATTAAAATATAAATCACAAACCAAAAGCGATATCAGCATGAAATGTTAAGTAAAAACCAAATTAAGGGAATGAAGCCTATTAATTCTTAAAAAAAAAAACTGAATAAGGGGGTTGAAGTATTGGAAAAAAATCCGAATTTAGAAACAAAAAAACGATATTAAATTGAAATCTTCAAAAAAAAAAATCAAGCTTTATAAGGGGGTGAAGCCTATGATTCTGAAAATCTGATTGAAATACTGATTTATAATATTGTAGTCGCCATTATAAAAATTTATTGTAAGAAAGTCAAGATGGTACCATTAAATATTATTAAATTATTATTTTATTTATTGATCAATGTACTATTTAAATGTGCAGTAACATTTATTTAAATCCGATATACAGGGTGATATTCTAGCTAAAAGCAATATAGAAAAAGAGTCCGGTCCTGGAATTTTTGAAAATTAAATTATGGCTTTAAATAACCTAAGAGAGTGTAACTTTTGTACAAAATTTTATCAAAATATATCTAGCCGTTCAAACAAAATGGGCGACTTTAATTTTGGCAAAAAACATAAAACACCCTATATCTCAGAAACGAGTAAGATTAAAGCTACGTTTGGGGATGTTTTGAACTCAGCTAAGTGTACTCTATCTCTGTGTTCGTTTAAATCTGAAACACCTTGTATATCTTCATTTTAGTTTTCAAGACTGTATTCAATTAATAACTACGAATAATTTAATTACGTACCTTTAAAGTACTTTTTTTACAACAGGCCAACAAAATTTAAAAAAAAACTCGCCAAAAATGTATATGTCAATTTCAATGAGAAAAAATCAACTGTCGCATCCAGTTTTAAGCCTGGGAGGGTAGTGGTAATATTTAAGTACCTATAAAAAGTTACGTTTAAACATTCTTGGAGGGTAATTACCCTAATTACCTCCCCTCGTATATGCGCCCCTGTATCGGTAACGTGTAGATACTGGGTTAACCCACGGCACTTAGGCCTCAGTAGGCGCATTGTGCATCCTCCTAAGTAGATAGGCACCTCCTAGCTCGTGAGCCAGCCTACAGATTTAATGTATGCGCCCCTGGTTCGCGTCTTTTTCTTTTTAATTGGTTACGAAAATTTGACAAGTTTCATTGTACGAGCCCCTTCCCATTTCAGTTGGCCCACCTATTGAAATTAAGGAAATTCGTATTTAAAGATTAAAAATATAAATATTGCATGAACTTTTCAATTTTTATCCATTGAACAATATGTTTAATATCGTTTAATCATAAAAAATATGTAGAAAACATTAAAATATTTATTTAATAAAAAATTAAAAAAAAAAATAAACAAATAGTTGGAATCAAACGTTAATCAATTTTAAAGTTTACCATTGAGTAACGTCACTTTTATTTTTTATTACAGCTGAAATTCTTTGCGGCATGGTATTAACTAAGCCTTGGCAAAATTCTGGTGTAAATGAATCCCATATATCTTGAAGTTTTTGTTTAAGTTCAGGTATTGTTCTTGCAGGATGTTTTCGAAGTACCTTTTTCATCTCATGCCACAATGTTTCTATTGGTGATAAATCAGGACTACTAGAAACCCATTCCAAAAGTGGAACACCGAAGTCTTCCATCCATTTTAGAGCTTTTTTTGACGTGTGACACCCTGCTCCATCCTGTTGAAATACAAAATCATTCCCTGATTTCAAATATAATTCCATAGTCGGTAAAAGTGATTCATCCAAAATGTCCAAATATTTATTTGTATTTACAATTCCTTCAATAAAATGCAATTTCCCTATTCCTTTAGATGACATGCTGCCCCAGACCATGACCAATGCGGGAAATTTTACTTTTCTTTTGAGACAGTCTGGATGGAACGCTTCATGTTTTTTGCGAATAACTCGACTTCTGCTATCTCCAACACAAACTTCGAATCGGGCCTCGTCACTCCATTGTATTGCATCCCATTGATGAGAAGTCCAACTCATATGTTCTTTTGACCATCTTAATCGATTTTTTTTCTGTTTCGCAGTTAGTAGTGGTTTTTCTTTAACCTGTAACAAAATTGCCAATTTTAAGCAAACATATTTGATTGTTTTAGTGTCTTCAATCCATGTTTTTTTTTGTTCTTATTATTATAAACTTACTTTGTAAGTCCCAAATCCCAATTTGCGAGCTTCTCTATGACATGAAGATCTCGAAATTCGTCTTCCAACAGCATCACTCCACTGAGCACTTAATTCAAGGTAATTAGCACGACGGTTAGTTTCAATAATTCTTCTCAATGCTCGTCTATCGGCATTTGTAATCTTGCTTTTTCTAACATGACGGGGCTTTGGGCTGATTGAACCAGTAGTTTTGTATCTTCTAACTATATTTCTTACACTATATCGTGATAAATCTAATATATTTGCAATTTCCGAGTTCGATTTTCCAGAATTGCAATGTTTTATAACAAGAAAACGTATTTTTTCGTCAATGATTTTTCCTCTACCCATTTTATTAGACAGAATTAGCTTAAAAGAGGTTAAATTGTCTTGTGACAGTTATTTGCATTATTGTTTGTTATTTTTTCAAAGCTACCTTCGATTTTGGTTTATTTTCTAACGCATTGAATTCAAGTTGAAATAATGCAATAATGCTCCATGTGTTAATAAATTTAAAAATAAATAAAAAATTGATGTTTTCTAGTTCTAATATAATTCTAAATTAATGCATTGTTAATTAATTTATGATTTAAAAAAGCATGTATTCTTTAATACTTTCTTATTGTCGTTATATAAAGAAAATATTAATAGATGAGCCAACTGAAATGGGAAGGGGCTCGTATATACTGGGTGTCTCATAGATTTGTGGCCAGCTAATATCAAAATTATTTGACAAGATGAAATTTAAAAGAAACTTTGGTCCTATATGGCATGAACAATCTTTTACAGGGTGAATTTAAATCAACCTCTTGTCAAACCAAACCTAAAATTAATTTTTCAAATTACACCCAATGTTTTTTTTTTGTTATTTTATACAATTTTTTCTTTTTTTAGGTTTTAATGGGCAAAATTTAAAAAAAATAGACTGGATGACTGAAAATGTTTTTTTAATTGACGTATATATAGAGAGGGTTGTTTAACTCTCATTTAGCGATTGTTTTTGTTTGTAAATTTGTTTTATGTATAGCTTTATTTCTTCTTGTTATTATCAATTTAGATAATTATATAGTTTTTATTATATACAATATGTAACAAAAGTGGAATTTGGAAAATTTTAATTTGTATTTCTAAAAGTAGGTGCATGGCCAAAGACCGAATAAAACTTTAACAAATACGAATTATGAATTTACCGCAAGAGCAAAGTATCCTTATCTTTAGAAAAATAGAGAAAATATTGCGTCAGAAGCTTGTTTAACAAAAATGAAATCACAGCCATCCAGATCGAATATTTTTTCTATATGCGTCTATATCAAATGGAGACAAATAATTTATTATAGCCCATGCAATAGTTTTTATTAAACTTAATTAATCATATTCCTTTTTTTATGCAAATTAAAAAGATTTAAACAATTAAATTTCGAGTTTTCATGGTAACAGACTTTTTGTGACACACTACCTATTTTATTTTCCTACTCACCTGATAAATATTTATGGGGCGGTTTTTGATGGACTCTACAACCAAATACGGGGGCCTAACTGACACTGGATCATCTCCATCGATTTTCTATGAAATCAAAAAGTTCTGTAAAATTAATGAAAAACAAGACATTTTTAAAATGTAACATGTAACCACAGAACACCTAGAATACTATTTTCTTGCAATAAAATTGATATCGAATGTAACTTGAAAGTTGTTGGTGCACATGCGCAATACTCGTTCAAAACTAAACCAGGTTGGCTTCAACAGATGACAAAAATAATACTCAATAAATATATAACATAAAAAAAATATTAGAAATAAGAGAGTGACTGATAGAAAATAGTAGATAGATCTTATGGTGGTAGCAGCTATTAAAATAATATGAACATGAATAAATGTTTTATAGAAGAGTGTAACAGCCGTATGCATAGTCGATCGCCAGCGACTCGCCAGATATTCATTTCGGCGTATCGCCAGCGCAGCGATCCGCTGGCGAAAGCCCAAAAAGGTGGCGACTCGCCGGAGATTGCCACCGGCATGTCATTTCACGCAAGTTTTCATGTTCTTTTATAGGGAAAAATTTGATATTCGTTCATTGTTTTTTGAGTTTTAAGAAATGAATCATGAATAAAATGCGAGAGATGCCGGTGATAATCCCTATAAAAGAACATGACAATTTGCGAGAGATGACATGCCGGTGACAATCTCCAGCGAGTCGCCACCTTTTTGGGCTTTCGCCAGCGAATCGCTGGCGATACGCCGAAATGAATCTCTGGCGGTACGCCGAAATGAATCTCTGGCGATACGCCGAAATGAATGTCTGGCGAATCGCTGGCGATCGACTATGCATACGGGTATAAGTCATTGTATGAGCGGTACATGCTTTATTTAATCTACGCTATGGCTTTATAATCATAATCAAAAATTAATATAATTATGTTTATCATTACTGAACAATCTACAAAATTAATATTCTCTTGCCAAGACCTGCTCACTAGATAACACAAAACTTTATCATAATAAAAAGCTGAAAATCATTTTCAGTAATAGTCCAATAAATGAAGGACTGAAAAGATCAAAAGCTGTAAAAAAATCGCTGATGAGTTCCCAGGTAGCTCAATTTGTACGTCATCGCAGGTGTTTTTAAATGAGAAAATCCTTAACGCGTTCTTGGTACCGAAAGGGGCTGAAAATGGACCCCTAAACTCTGAAAAACGGGTTTCCCGCTAATATCTGGTTAAATATGCCAATTAGAGAATTTTTGTTCAGACAAAAAATGAAGATCAGCTCTTTCTCTACAAAAATGATCCCTACCAATTTTTTCGCAATGCCAATATTTTTTTGCAAAATAAGACTTCGAAAAATCCATAATTTTCATATGGTAGTTTTTTGCCGAGTTTCCGCTCGATGGGATTGGAAATGCATTGATCTTCATCTTTTGGACTTTAGAGACCAATTGCAGATGGCGCCAGCACCTTTGCTCTTCTCGCTAAATTACGGAGTCCGTAAATGAAAATCTCTGAAATAATCGATTATTCGACAATTAATAGCGGATTTCATCTGATTTTTTTCTGCAAAGTAGCGAACTTTAATCCATCCTGCGACGAAATTAATTAATTTTGGGCATAGTCGGAACATCTGGGTGGGTACTTTATAGAAGACAGTTTTTCTAATTATATCTGTTATTTACGCTTGGAGAAGAAAATTCTTCAGGTAAAAATTGCTTGTAATATTATTCTCTATAATTTTTGTCTTATACATAATTTTCCAAAAATGGTCCGTATTCGAGAAATTTGACAAAAAGTGCAAAATTCGAATTAACTCGAAAACGGATAAAGGGAAAAACACAAAATTTTAAATTTAGGTTTTAATCCATCCTGCGGTGAGCTGATTAAATTTTAGGTATAGTCGGAACATCTGGGGAGATACTTTAAAGGAAGTTGTTTTTCTGCTCTATATGGAATATATCTGTTATTTACGCTTGGAGAAGAAAATTCTTTGAATAAAAGATGCTTCCTTTAATTTTTGCCTTATACATAATTTTCCTAAAATGGTCCGTATTCGAGAAATTTGACAAAAAGCGAACTTACTTGCCTAGAGATTTAATAATATAGCGGTCCCTACACTTGTTGTGCATTCGTACAGAGGATTGTTTCTGGAGAAATAGGTAGAAATTATCGCATCTCTTCTTGCTCACTCGAATCAAATTTTCTAAACCACGAGTAACATTTACACCGTCATCCACAACACCCTCCTTACAAAGAAAGCATTCTGGAACGGAATCCGCTTCCATTTCAACAACACCAAGAGCTACCAAAAAATAGATGATCCAACCGTTAGAACAATTACACCAAGTTTTTTAAGTTGAGGCAGAATAGAACAAACAGTATTTTCTGCTTCCAACAATAAAATCTTTGAATATTCTTTCTTGTAGACAAGAATAACGTGGAAATTTTTCACTTTAAACACTTCTTCTTTTTTTTATAACTGAATTAATTTAATGAAAAAAATTTATTTTATTTTAAATAAATATTTCAAAATAAATAATGAAAAAATATCATCAGTACATCAATAATCCGGTCAAGCCGACGACTCCAAAACAGAGATTGTATACATGCAGACAACTATCGTCGCGTGGATACACGATGTTAGGTTATATACAATATCATGGATCTCAGAGGGGGAGCGTAAAAATGAAGTATATAATTGTAACAACCTTTTTAGAACCAAGAACGGATATGGGGGTTGACTTATATCAATGGAAAGGTTAGAATACAAGCTTTACTTTAATCTAGTTATTAATCTTCAAAAAATAAAGAGCGGGGAACAAGAAATGGTTAAACAAAAAAAAGGCCGGTTTTCACTCGTGTAATCATCCTCATTTCTTGAAAATTAATAGACTCTATTAAAAATAAAAAAATATATTCGAAAAGTAGACCATCTAAGCTTTAAAATGATGTGCATTGGACATCAATATAACGGATCATAAGATTATAATTCGCGCTTGTTCCGAAGATTCTATGGAACTCCGAAATCGGCTAAAACATGTAAATAAACAAATCAATTTTGTATTAAAACGCAAAGAAAAGTATTACAAAAAAAATTCTGAGATCATTCAAGACCCCCCAAGGTCCCATTATAAAGGCAAAATTAGAATAAATGACTATTTTTAAAGAAAATATGAATAAATTAATGAAGCAGTCTCTAAATATTGTTGAAAAAACTTTGACCGCTTTTTTAAATATTTTTGGCAAATACGAACTGACTTCAAGTCACATGGAATTGTAGCTACGGATTTTCCCATTGCGATGAACTTTGAATCATCGAAAAATATCAATTTTTTCCCGAGAAATGGAACAATTCGTCCGCCCGCTTACACGTTAATTCATAGAAAGCAGAATTCTTGCAGGTAGAGCAGCAGCTGAAATGAGGGGACTTTTGAGTGCCATTATCTCGAAAACTATTGAATTTTCGAAGAAAATGATAGGGGCCATTTTTGTAGATAATGAGCTGATCTTCATTTTTTGTCTAAACAAAAATTCTCTAATTGGCATATTCAGTCAGATATTAGCGGAAAACCCATTTTCCAGGTTTAAGGGGTCCATTTTCAGCCCCTTCCGGTACCAAGAACGCGTTAAGGGTTTTCTCGTTTAAAAACACCTGCGATGACCTACAAATTGCGCTATGTGGGAACTCATCAGCGAATTTTCTACAGGTTTGACCCTTCAGTTACTGGACTATAAGTTTTAATCACTTTTTCCATATATATCCTATTGCCTACTCAACACCCGAAAATATATTGTTAGAGTTAAGCTTGCCTAAGCACTGTTTACACATTTTATTACTTGTAAACTAAAATCACTTTATTTTTCTCCTACTTTGATCTTCATTTAATAAATTGTTGTTTAGGCAACTTTGGCACAGAACCACTCAAATTAAATTTTTAATGTATATTTTGTAAGTTATCTTAACATAATTTATATGATATAATAAAATCGTGACTAGGTTTTAACTATATTAACTTGATATAAGATTCAAATTTGTGGCAATATGGTATAGATTTGCCGTCTATACTGCATATGTTGACCAACAACCTCTTCTGTGCAGAAACCAATTTTTGTAAAGGATATAAATCAAAATAACAGTAAATTGTTCATATGTATCAGCTTTCTATGTGTTCTGTACATGTGACTTTAGTTTTGCTACAAATAGTGGTACAAGTTTAAATCATTTTAATAAATAAATAGAAAGAAACACAATAAGAAAATTAATAATGTTATATTGACTCACAATACTAGAAACAGCTCCTCTGATAACATTAACCCTATTTTCATAATCTGAAAGTCCAGCTACTAGCTCGCTGCTCATAAAATTCTTAGATTTTGGAAATTTTTGAAAAATGTTCAAATAAGCCATCCTCACAAATATGTATCCAGCACAAAAAGAATCCCATCCCGCTTCATGGTATTTTCCATAATTTTCTAAATTATGTATTTCAATAGCTGGAGAATTTAAAGCCAGATGCCTTCCTGTGCCATTTTTGAAATATTCGAAAATTGTGGCCAGACTTCTATTGTTCCAGCGTTTTTCTTCAGGAACTATTGATTGTAGTTCATAGGAAACAGTTTTTGTGTCATAAATTTTCGGAAATAATTCATTAATAAGTTTTTTAAATTGTTTGTAAGAAGTTGGCAGTGACGTTTCAAAACTTTCAGTTACTAACAAAATATCCTGCATTAAATTATGACCTATTAAAGGTTTTTTTAATGACGTTAAGAGCCGAAATATTTTAGTAAAACCTACAAGATTTTCTATTAGCTCTTCTTCCAAATTATGCAATCTTAATAACTTGTCAAAATCATTCAAATTGACTTTTTTTAGAATAAATTCATTATTTTCAACAGACGTCCAAACATATTTAAAACGTCTTCTAAAACTTTTATGCAAAAAGTATAACATTTGACAGTTGTTTTCATATTTATTTAAAATTTTCGGTATGGTAATTGTATCCCCATTTTTGGCATTTGAAAACCATTTTCCCACTTGTTCGCTTTCATTGTTTATAATCTCTTGTATTTCATTATTAAAGCAGCTTTGTACTTCTGTAACGTCATTGTTTTTAAATCTATTCCTCAGTTCTTCTTCTTGATCTTTATTAATATAGGGAATACCAGAATATGCGAACTAAAAGTTACAAAAACGTTAATTTCCATTTTAATAATTTGAAGAAGACATTACCTTATTAAAATTAAATCCGTGAACTTTTAAAAAATCTAAAGTATCAGATTGGAATATAAAGTTTTTTTGGACATAGGGAAAAGCAGCTGGTATTAAATAAAAATTATATATGGTACCTAAATACCTATTACTATCGCGATCAAACGAAAATGCTGTTAGACCAATTTGTACAGGTACTACAAGCTTCAAATTTTTCCGTAATTTTTGGTATCTCTCGTTGGGAGTATCAAACAAGCTAAAATTTGTAAACATAAAAACAAAACCTATTTTTATTAACAAAGATAATTTATTAAAATTCTTTAGTACTTACCTAGGAGATTGTTCCTTTAAAGGATTTAGAGCGCTAAATTCTAGATCTATAGCAATAAATTTTGATTCTTCCAAAGACTTCTTAATTTCAGGAAATTTTTCTTTAAAATTTTGAACATTTATTTCCGTCATTTCGAAATCAATTGAGGTTAGGTTAAAAATTGAAAAATACAGGACAGGAAACGTCAAATCAAGAGCGCATGAATATGTTAAATATCAGGTAGGCAACTATGAATGCATCGAAAAATTAAAAAGTATTAAGCGGAAGTTATATTATTTAATTTTACATTTTCTGTTGTAAAACAACAATAAATAATAATAAAAAAAATATAAATCAAATTTTTCATTTTTTATTTATTAATAGATTTATTACTACATTTAAAAATGTTAAATCCAAACGGGGATGTAGCTCAGTGGTAGAGCGTTCGCTTTGCATGTGAAAGGCCCCGGGTTCGATCCCCGGCATCTCCAAGTTCCTTTTTTGTTTTGTTGGTGTTTGTAAAAAGCGTAATTTGAAAATAAAATATGTAGTTATTAACATATTAATAAAATGGGTAGTTTTAAAAGTCAAGTTTAATTTATAATAAACCTTCAATCTGCATTGGATGCGCCAATAGAGAAATGTCATTTTTAAATACGTTAGATGGATAACCTGAAAAGACCATATCAATCACCTGATTTTACTCCACGCGATTTCGTTTTATAAAGATACAAATAAAACTACTATTGACACTGACATTTAAGTATATTATTATGACATGTCAAGAAAAATATAATTTGAAGTCATTATTTTAAGCTCTAGGGCGTTGAGTTTTGCTTTTGCAATTTCTGACTTTTACAGCCGGTTGCAAGAACGTTGATTATTAAATTTTATGAACCTGGATAAATTACAGATATTTACACTGTTATTAATTTGAAGTTCTTATGTCATTCAGATAGACAACAAGTTTATCGGGCTCATAAGTTTAAAGAACGTTTAAAAGATCTACCGCTGCAGTGTACTACTTCCATGAACTCTCTTTTTAGTTTTTCTAAAACTTATTTTGCCGTATATATACCCCTTTTAATAGCTATTTATGAAACTATAGTTACCATAGTAGGTTATTTATGTAACGAGTGATTATATATTTGCAGGATAAGCAGAGCGAGGTCTCGTAACATGAATTAATAACATAAAAAATGGCATTTCGTAACGTTTACATACAATATTTTCCCTAATTTTGACATGTAAAGTGACATTTTTTATAATCGAAGCAAGTGTCAAAATGATCTACTTTACGTAACCAGTTGCATATAATGTTGGAACATTATGAAACTAGTTTTGAAAAAATAATTACGTCAGTCGTCGCGAAAAGAAAACAAATAGAAATAAACCTTTTTTTGATTTTAAAATGAATAATATACATTATTATTGAAAGTTGATACCAAAGACGAAGAGCATGTTGAAGCTAGTTACAAGCTAGTAATAATGTTGTTTGGGTCCTTATTTTCCAGTCCAAATCAGCACAAAACAATTAACACACAATACACGAAAATAACCCACTTTTTTAAAAACTAGACAACAATAATAAACTATTAAACATCCTGCAAGTCGTTGAGAAAAAAAAATAATAAATAATGTTCTAATCACAGCATAAACGTGTTTCAAATTATTTATAAAATGATGCATATGCATGCAACTACAATACAAGAAAGTAATACTGGTTGCCTAAATGTCAGTATAGTGTTTAACCAAAACACAATGTTTGTCAAAATTAGAAAAAACACGTTACGAAATGCCGTTTTATGTAACTCGTTCATGTTGCTAGACTTCCCTTTGCTCGTGCTTTACATATTACATAAAATAAGATGTATTTCGCAACTGGTTTCATAAATAGCTATTTCGAAACTAGTTTTATAATGTTCAACGTTATGCAAATGGTTGCGTAAAGTAAACAATTTTGATCCTTTTGCGATTTCAAAAAATGTTAATTTATATGTCAAAATTGGAAAAAATCTTTTGTTACACTGGTCATCAGACTTTATAAAGTTAAAACAAAATCCTCCAAATTTACCATGACGTACACTACAGGTCGACGCAGAGATGAAGATTGTGATGATGCCATTTGACCTACAACTGAGGAAATACCTAGATTATCTAAGGGAAACCCCAGAAAATCCTCGCACTATCGTCAACAAAAAATATAGAAATATAGAATGGATGCGCCGCAAATTCTACAAAGATGAACCATAATAATATACAAATTAAAGAACAATTAAATTAGTCTGTCGTAGAATTCGAACCACTAGAACAGCATCTCTGATGGACAGTGGCGTAGCCAGAAATTTGTCATGGAGGGGTTCCATCAACAAAGTTCTAACCCCAAAACCCCCATAGCTACGCCACTGAGCTGATGGCAATGATTGCTGCCTGTTGATATATGAACGCACCCAGATATTGTCAAAACTTCTCATTTAATAAATTTTTCTAAATATCTGAAGATAAAAATTTAATTACAAAAATACAAAAATTTTGAAGATAAGTAAAAATTAAAATAATATTTTGGGATCCCAAAGTTAATGATTAACTTATATAAAACACACTCGGTATATAATTTTATTGTGTAGGTACATATACATATTTTAAATATTTGCGCTGTTCAATAAAAAGGAATACATTTATTTCTTTCTTTCAAAAAAAAGAGGAAGAACCACCATTTTTAAAAAATGGATGTCATTAAAACACTCAGTACCTATATAATTTTATTGCAGATCAGGAAAAGAAGCAGATGTAGAACAATAATTCTGCATTATTATTCTTAAAGAATCACCATTTTTTTAAAATGGATGTTATGATTTTCTAAATATTCGCAACTTCTATTTACAAACACAAATGCAAAAATGAATAACTAATAAAATAAAATAATTATATATAAGATACTTATAGGTTGAGAAGAGTTGATTTTTTTGTTATGTTTGGGACGGTCTAGGGCCCATTTTTTTAAATTTTTATAAAAAATAATTTGCGCTGAAGTTGAAGCAGTCCCGTATAGTCCCGGTTTGGCAAGCTGCCCATGGACAGAGTCCCCGACAGGTAGCTATACCGAGTTTATAAAAGCTCTCACAAACTCGACTCCGTGCCCGTTTGTGCTATAATCTTTTCAGTGACAACTTACAGTGGTGCTCTTAAATGGGGGCCTAAAACAAATCGTGTAGTTTTAAACCTTTTTACAACCCTCAAAGAACTGATTTTCGTCAAGTGATAAACTACTGGGACCATTTTTGTGATAAAAATCGGTAAGTTGAAAGTGTAAAGTGAAGTGCAGGTGACCTAATTATAATCAAAAAAAGTGTTAACGCTTTTACCCATTGGATATTTCAACTTTTAAATTGGAGTAAGACAAAAATGTTTGTAAATCGACTATAAAAACATGACATGAAGCGATAAATCTGTCAAAGATTTGACACAAGATTGTCATAAGAACTAAAGAAGTAGAAAAATGAACAAAAATATTTAAATAAAGGAATTTTAAGTGAGGGATGTTTGCGTTACATAATTTCAAAAAATTGTAAAATTTTGCGAAGCCCACGTCTTACAACAGCAGCGCTTGCCAAAATTATGAAGACAAGTGTGCTATAACGGTAGCTGTGGATTGGCAAACGTCCCAATACCGGGCCATTCCTAAAATAAAACAACTTTGCACTAATGACGACGCATTCTAAAATAATATCCCGATTTATTTCTAATAATTATTATCATTGTAACCCCAGAGTTATTTTAAAAGTTTGCGCTACAGGGTCACGTGACACCTGCCTTGGGTCGCGGTCCAATAGTGTTCGTCCACATGCCACATGCGTACCACAAAATAGTTGCACTTTAGAATAAATTGAAAAATAATTCACACCTTCAAAAAAAAATTCCACATTATTTTAAAATACTCTGACCAATTTACTTTAATTTTATAAATTTCAAACAATAAATGTATGCCGAAAAAAAAAATTAATAATTTGCAAAAATAATACAGCGCATGGCAAGCACATTGAAGAACGTGGCGTTTAGATTCTGTGTGGATTTTGTAATCGTCAGAACAGAAAAGTAACGGAGTAGTGATTTGTAATCGTGTAGTGTTTAGAATTTTTCGAATTTACACCGAAGTTTTAGCTATTCAATCGTTAGAAAATGTTTTTTAAGTGTGCCAGAATCGTCCTTATTAATTCAGAAATTTGTTAATTTCAATAATACACCAGATTTCAGTTATAAGACTGTGACAGTGCAACTTCAAATATTTTTAGGTTATAATTTACTAGTTTTCAAATACACGTTTCTAAACTTTATACGGTGAGTCCAACATGTGATTTTTTACTAAAAAAATGTTCAAAATTCGCAAAAGTGAACCAAGATTTACAAACGCTTTTGATAAATGTAATGTTAGGTTACATTATGAGGGGTTAAGATTAAAATATGCTAATGATTTCCCGTTTCTGTAGTTTTACGATTTTAAATGAGTAATCCTTAATTATACATTGTTTAAATAAACTTGTAAAAGGTTTTTTGCATAAAATATCTCGTGTATTATTGTTGTTTCGATTTTTCTTTTTTCGGAAGCTCACCATTGTTTTTTTTTTCTTATAGAAAGTGACAGTCGGGCACTATGGATGATGGATGGATCAAAACAGTGGACGAGGTACTAAGGTACTTTGACACTGACCTAGAACGAGGACTTTCCATTGATCAAGTCAAAAAGAATCAAGCAAAATATGGACCTAATGGTATGTCACCTTAATTTTTTTTTCTCTTATTGAAAATAGTTACCTACTTGGCTAATATAACAATTTTTCTTTGTTATACCTACATAATAAATTATTCCAAAAGTATGAGTTTACAATAGGATATATACTTATTTTTAACACATTAAGTGCTTTGTGTAGGTATATGTTACAGTGAGTTGAAAATTCAGTAAATGCTAGCTTTTACTACTTAATCCATTAGGAAATGTTATACATTAACGGAACTTTTAAACTTTTAAGTGTATCTTGGCTAAAGCTAACAAAATCAACATTTACTGACAGTAGCTAGTAAAAGTACTTAATTTCATATTTTCAGAACTGTATTTATTTAATGTTAACGAAAAGCAAAACATATTGCACTTTTGTGAAACCCGATCTGATTTAGGTTTTTCAAAAAATGTAGCCTCCATTTGATTTGAAAAATATTAAGAAAATCGATACAAATAACTAGATATTAGGTATAAATACTACTACAATAAATAATAACCTCAATAAACCAAAGTGCCAGTAATAACTTGCACAACTATTGCAAAATTTAAACTATATTTTCTGAAAAGATAATGGTTCCATCTACTTTAATTTAATTATTCGTATTTTCTTAGATTTTTAAATCATATTACAATAAATTTAGCAACATTACATTATAAATGAAAGGTTTATCCAGCTTTTACTAAAACAGCTCAGGCATTACTAACAGTTACTAGTAAAAGTGTGTTCAGATTAAAAATATTTAACTTTTACTGGCAAATCAGTAATAGCTTACTCTCCCTAGGGATTGTTAACATTTACTGATTTCCAGCATTTACTGTAACATACATATTATACACATCTGACATGTCCAGGGCGCTGTGTGTATAGATATTATTTATGGTCTGTTTGGAGCCTATGTATATTGCCCTTGGACCTTATTGCAAAATCTAAGTTGGCACTCAAGCTGTTTATTATATTTTTTTAAACATAATTTCATGGTTTGTACCCACTTTTTTGTAATAGTAACAGTTATTTTACCACTTAATAAAGAACATGTTTTTGTTATTATAAATTGTTAATTGCTTAAAAAGGCAACTCTAAAATAATAAAGTAATAATACATTAAAGTGGATTCACAAGTATACTTACTTAATTATAAACAATATTATTATTTTGTTAAATCATAAAAGTTGTCTTTTTTGCTTTTAATTTTTATGAACAAATTCCAAATTCATTCATCTAATAGACTTTTCCAGAAACTGATTGGTTTATTTCAGAAAAGCTGAATTTGTAGAATGTTCTAACTTTTACAGTAATGTTTAAATAACAAAGGAGAGAAATCATGTTTCTATTTTTATTAGTTATGAAAAATTACATTTAGGTAGTTTTGTATCAAAAACTTTGTCTCTCGACAGTAAAGTGAATCAGCAGGTTTGGATAATTAGCACTCAGACTACTTAATATACCTATCTTAGACACATTCAATTAAGATAAAATATTTATATATTAAACACAGGTTAAAAACTTTATCAAATTAAAGGCCTTCTAATTACTGATAAGCAAAATGTAGCAATATAAAATCGACTTTTGGTATTTTAATAATAAATATTTTGTAATGATAAATGCATGTTTTAAATTATTTGTTCCATACATTATAAGACATTGAGGAAATTAATTTTCCACATAAAATTTTATGAGATTTGTTTAAAATAGATCACAAGTGTTTGTTGAATGAGTTGAATAAGTAAATGTACGTAACACACTGGCCTATTTTATTATCCTACTACATTTCTGGTTTGTGTGTGGACTGAATGTGATAATTATATTTGTACATAGTGGCAATGAATTATAAATACTATCTGAGTAGATAGGTTATTTTTTGTGTGTTTTTGATTGGTTAGATATTTTTTTAAGCAATTGTTACAGTGTTTACCTAGTGATTATAGAAAGTTTACTTTTTGTACGAAAACATACTTAATTAAAAATGGCGATAAGACAAGCTTTAGTTATTGTTTCTGTTTTGAAATTAAATGGGTTATACCTTACCTATACCTATACTGACTTTTGAAAAAGTATTTTAATATAATGTTCTAAAAACTTCTCAAAGTGAACATAATTTACAATTGGTTGGTTATTTTAAAAGGGAGTTTTTACAAAATAATAGTTATTAGATATATTTTGCAACCTCTAATTTGAAAATTTCAACACACATATTTCATATAATTTCAGAAGTAATAATTACACAAAATCTTGACACTATAAATCATCTATATTTAATGAGAATTTTAATGAATTTAAAATAATATTCTGCTAAAATAGATTTTATGTTACATATGCTATGAAAAGTGAAATAAAATTATCTAAAATCTGTTTATATTTAGACCCAAAAGATTTTTAATTTAATTTTCTAACTTTTAAATAAGTTATTAACAGAAATAAGTGAAATGTGTATGTGTGTATACATGTGAATTTAATTATAGAACTTCCAGTGATTCCGGTAAAATGTTGTTTGGTGGTTTTGGATTACTATTTAGAATGCATGAACTGAAACGTTAAGACATGATTTCTCTTACAGTTTGGGGCAGCATATGATATTATAAAACACATTCAGTATAATTTTTTACTAAGAGTGAAAAATACTTGTTTACTAGTTATGATCTGTATTCAAAGCAGACATATGTTGTCATTACTTATTAGATTAGTGCAGTTAATTCTGTCACTTAACTGCTGTTTCTCCTTTTGGTTGTCAGTTTGTCCCCAGATAACAATTATACATTCTTAGTATATACTTTTTAGGAAATATACTTTATTTGTATTAAAACATTCTCAGCATGGGCGTCGTTACACAATTCTATATGGAGGGGCAAAATTTAAAAAAAAATTAGAATGTTTATTTGATGGAAAACAAAGGTGTGATATAAAAAAAATAGGAACAAGAAGATACAGCCATACACATTAATGAAAACAAAAAAAAATATTTACAGAAACACGAAAACATAAAAAACACACTCAAACACGTCGACGAACACAAACAAAGACTTTAGGAAAATGCAAATTTGAAATTTCTTTTTTCTCTACCAAAAATATCAATAACAGAAGTCATAATTTCTTTTTTGCTTTCTGTACACTCATCATGTAAAGCCCAGTGACCAGTCGCCTATTTTCATTCATTTCGTAGTCCATTTTGGTATTCAGCTCCAAAATTGTCGATTCTAAATTTGTCCACTATTTTCTTTTTCTGATCGGTAATAAAAAAAGTATTTTTTATGTTTTGGGGATGTAACAGGCTTAAAGAACCTATAGTACTTACCTAACAAAATATCAGTAATATCAGCAACTGCCCTCCCTTGCCCCCTCCAAACGACGCCCATGATTCTCAGAATATACTAAGTATATGTTATGAGACGGGATGCAAATACTGAGAATGTTTGGTTATGTTATTCTTTTATTAGGTAGCGAATGTTTTGGCCTGAAAACTCAACATGCAGTTGCTAGCGAATTATCAGATCAACTAAAATGGGGCATATGGGAAAAATTCATTTAGGTATATAAACGTGTTTTTATATCTGATGTTACTGTTTACCTTTAAGCATTTAGGACGTTATCATTATATTAGGTACATGCTGGGTATACGACTTTTTAGAATATACTTTTAAAGCATGTATTCAGTATAATCTTTCAAAGAATATTCCAGGTATGTTCTAAGAACATTCTAAAAAGAACATTAATGTTATGTAGGTCATCCATAGTAATTCAACTCATTTGTTGGTGTCGCAGGTACCTACCCTATCTTACATAGCTTTTTAAATTTAAATGAAATTTGAAAATCAGAAAAAAAAATGTTGCATGATGTACCTACTTTTTTCTATTATTTTTTATTTATAATCAGTATTTATATTTTTCTAATTATTAAAAAGATACTTTAGGTATTAACAGCTTATAAGTAAACAGAGATTGGTTTTTACCTAATTAAAACTAAGTAATAAATCCACTAAACTTCAGTTTTTGTTATTCAATTGATGAATATCTATAGATAATGGAATAAAAACATTTACGACTCATTTACTGTTATGAAATTGAACATTTCAACATTGCATGCTGGTTTTTTTTGTGATATATATATATTATCTCACCTAAACTATTTCCGTTTTGATAAGCTTTACCTTCGTTTTAGAGGCGAATTAAAACATTCATTATTTTTTTTTGCCTTGGGGCAGAAAAGCGTATCGTCCCAAGGTCCGTAAGTGAACAAGCCAATTACGAAGCTTGTAGTACGAAAATATTGTTATTATCTACATATTAATAGTCCAGTCATATAGTGCACGGACCTTACAAAAAATTGGGAAGAATTTCAGTGGCTTATAGGTATAATGTTTTTGAGGTTGCTAAACTCAAAAAAGAACTTTACCACCTTGTATTTTTTGGGAAAAAAGTTATACGCAAAACAAAACAGTTACAAAAGTATTTTTTTCATTTTTTATTCTCAAAAACACCCAAGCTATATGGTTTTCCCTCGGGTTTTCCACTGTATTTTTCATCTGAAAATATCTGATGTGTTCACCACATGACTTTAGCAGCAATATGTTTCCCTAAAATATAAAGAAGAATCTCATCACTACTGCACAAGTATCTGAAATCTGATAAACTGCTTTTGTGTGAGTATAATCCATATAATCAAAAAATGTTTACATTATATACTGTATTTCCACTCTTTTTGTTTAAAACAATTTCTCATATCTTATACAGTGTCAGCTATTGAACACTTTCCAATACGCTTTACCAATGTCAAAGTGAAAACTGCAGAGAGTTAGCATTAGACGAGTAGGAAACGAATAATATCAACTTTGCGGTGTGGGTTGTTTTATGTAAATAGGCACATAGCGAGAGATCCCAGGCGGTAGGCTGGATACATTGATATTATTTGTTTCCTGCTCACAATAATGCTAACTCTCTGTAGTCTTTACTTTGACATTAGCAAAGTATATTGGAATGCGTTTAGTAGCCGATACTGTTGTACAGGCTGCTTATTTTATCATACAACATGGTTATAATCTAAACTGTAAAATGGACCGTGATAGTCATGACGTCAAAGTTGGTAACACCTATGTTTCTACACAAAGCATGTTACCTTGGCAACGATGATCATCCCGCATATTTTTGTTTTGGTTCTCTATATAAAATAAAATTTAATAATTTAATAATCAAGAAAAATGTGCACAACTTGATTAGGTATAGTATATTTATAAAGCCATGATTTGAACATTATTTAGCATTTCATGTACTAGCTATTTATGAAACCAGTTACGAAATGCCGTATTTTATGTAATGAGTGAATATTTGCGAGACGAGCAGAGCGAGGTTTTGCAACATGAACGAGTTTCTTAAAACGGCATTTCGTTATATGTTACAAATAATATGTTTTCTAATTTTGATTATTTCTTTATAAAATTGTCTTTTGGCCAAAAGTGACTGACATCTAGGCAACCAATATACTATTTTCTTATGTTGTTAATTGATTAATTTTTTAATATGATTTATTTTGTTCTTTTATTGACAAATAGACAATCATATTCAATTATTCTCAATGACTTATTGTAGTGTGTTTTTATTGCTTGTTAAAGTTATTTACATGTTAAAGTTATTTTGTCCTGTATTGTGTTTTAATTATTTTGTGCTGATTTAGAATGTAAAATAATGACCAAAACAACATTATTACTAGGTTACAAGTTTAACTAAATTCTATTTTTATAAGTCAACCTGCCCTTGGATATAAACTTTCAATAATAATTAGGGTTACGTATAATTTGCAACTAAAAAACCGAAATTTCGCATAAATATAAATTAAAAATCCAAAATTTCGCATTTATTCGCATAAACAAATATTTAAAAACCATAATCATTAAAATAAAATATTTATTGCAGAAAAGTTAGTTAAAAGCTAACATCGTGGTTGTCTCTATATTTTCTTGCTCAAGTATTTGCCTTCGGTCATTTATGACGACATTGTAGATACTGAAATATCTTTCAGCATCTACACTGTTGACTGGGCTATGAAGACTTTTTATAGATGCATTCTCGAACCTCAGGTAGCAACATTTTGATGCAAGTAAAATCTGCCTGTCATTAACAGGAGCTTCTTGCTGAACCACATTGACGAGTTGTCTATGGAAATGAGCATATCCACTTAAGGGTTCATCCTGTGGTATATCCCTGAAAAATGATATTCTGGAGAAGATCTCCAGTGTTGAGTTGGTGTCCAGAGACGATGTGGTCACGGCCGCTGCTGCTGATGGGCAAAATAATTTGCCAATGTGCAGGTAGGAATAATCGTCGTTTGTTGGGTTGAACCTCATATGTGAAGACAATTTATCCAAGCTCTTTTGTGCTGCTGTATTCAGCATAATACTGTGCTCTTGATGGAAATCACCATTTTCATTTAACAAAATGCTTTTAGTTTATTCTGTAAAGGAACCTTCACGTTGTCGCTTAAGAGAATAGTTTAAATCTTCTAATTTGCTTCATAAAATGTTCGCGAATGGATATTTTGATCCTTCCAAGTTGTCAGTTATTTTCATTATTTTTGGACAGAACTCGGATAATGTCAACTGAACTCGTATTTTGCGAGCCAGAGTTTCATTTTTAAAAATTAAAACAGTCCGTCAGGTAACTAGTACTCATGTCATCGTCTTCATAGTCATTCATAAAAGCAATAATATGCTCCACATATTCGCTCAAATAGATTCCAGATTCGAACCAAGAATTCCACCTAGTTGCAATTGGCGTGGGGTAAAGTTTCGGAGTCAGTTGCGGAGCGTGTTCTTACAAGTAGTTTAAACTCTTTTATAAAGTTGTCACCTACAAGATTCACTTTATGTGGTAGGGTAAAATATGGTCACCAATCAGTATTTTAGCATGTTAAAACATGCAGTCATGTAACGTGTAGAGTCTGATACTAATCCTTGCAATGTTGTAAGCTTTTAAGGTTGTCCATGATGACTTGTGAGCAAGTGGAACCATTATTGGCCGCGTCTAAAAAATATACACTTGCTAAAAAGCAAGACTGCTCTGGTTCTGTATTCACAGTTTTAAATAAGACTGCAAAAACACATCTTCCTTGTTTGTCGGATGTTTTGTCTGCCACTACTACTACAAGCGGTGCGCGTTCGCAACGTGCATGAGGCTCGTAATATTAAAAATGTTTTTCTTCGAAATTTCGTCGAAAAAATATTAAATACACAAAATATTATATTTCGTATTTATCGCATAAATTACGTGAATTTCTCATCTATCGCTTCTATTTCGTAAAAACGAAAATTACGTATCTCTAATAATAATGTATGTTATTGATTTTAAAACCAAAAAAGGTTTACTTTTATTTGTTTTTTTTTTCGCAACTGGTAACATAATGAATTTTTCGGAACCAACTGGTTGCCTAAAGTAGATCATTTTGACACTTGACGCGAGTACAAAAATGTCACTTTATAGGTGTGTCAATATTAGAAAAATAATTTAAATATTATTAAACTATAGAACATAATATATTGGAAAAATCCACAAATTAAAAAGCAGTTTAATATAGTACTCTTGTCAACAACACAAGAAAAGCATCATTATATTTTTATACTACTCGCATACTAATGAGAAATAATATTTTCTAAGATTTCTTTTAATGAGCCCCATCTTGTTTTTTTGACAACCATGATAAAACCAAAATTTTAAGAGAACACAATGGAATAATAAAATAAGTTAAATTCGGTAAATTTAAAGTAAACAAAATCTAACCCCATTTAAAGTTTTGACAACTATAACAGCATTGACAATCACACTTTACCACCTTTTCGTAAAGACGTATCTGAAATTTGTTATCTATTCTTCCAGGGAAAAAGTTATGACAAAAAACCTGTCACAAAAATGATTTATAAAAACCCTTTCGAGTTAATATAAAAAAAATACTTTTGTGTTTTTCTCTAAGAATAGAAAACAAATTTCAGATACGTCTTCAAACCCCACGAAAACATATAAACCATCGCCGTTCAAAAAATTTCCAGGAAGTCAATGAAGTCTTGTAGGCAGGGTCAAAACGCCTTATGCTATAGTCGAAAGTCATGATGAAAAAATAACAAATCCAAGAGGACAGACGTCCCCCCTTGCCCTCGTGTTGCGGCGCCCATATAAATCACTATAAAATTCTTCCCCATTTTTGCACCGTCAGTTATGATTGAACTTTTGATTGGACTATAATTTATAGTTAAAAACTCATTTGTAATCCATTGTCTAAAAAATTTAGAGCTGTCTCAAAATATTTGGTAATTTGCATTTAGGCATTTCCTATTATTTGAAATAATTTCAACCTTATTACGCCCATTATTTAATTAATTTTTTTTTACTGCACTTCTTTATAATTAATATAAGAACTAGTCTAGAGCTGCTATATAGAATAATTATTAATGTACTCTTCAGGATAGAAAAGGTTTTTATTCGTTTCTATTTTTTATTATCTGAAATTTCGAACGTTACATTAATTCCAAAACTAAAGTGTATTAAACGGGAATAGTTTATTCCTCCCTAGACGGTTTGGAAAATTTTACCCTCGGGAAATGAAGTGGCACTTTCCTTCTAACTAATACAAATAGATATATATCAAACTGGTAAACAGGTCGATAAAATTTTCATTATTAACGAAAAAACAAAATGTACAATTGTTATCTAACTATTATATAACTATCCCTACATAATTATTAAAATCTTTGTTAGTCTCGACGATAAAAAACAGTATTGAAAATATGAAAATGATTAATCATTACCTTTTGCGCCAATTGTGACGTATCTACCTCGTTAATTTTAAGCATAAACATAATCAACCGAAGGTAATGCACAAAAGATTATTTTTCTCTTTGGTTAAACAGATAACGAAATAATCGTGTGAGCAATAATAAGCCATGATCAAAAATAAAACATTTTATATATGTATAGTGCAAATTTCAGCTATGAAACTATGTTGAAAAAAAAAATTCGTTCTTGTGATTTTAACCGGGGATATCGAGTTGAGTCCCGCAGAGAGCTGATACCGGCTTACCTGAGTTTGCTTGAGTTTGAAAGCTGTTCCTAGGACATTTAAAGTAAAACTCATTTCATACACAGGGTGATTCATAACTATTGGGACAAAGGTTATTTGGACCAAAATATGGCGATAGGACCAAATATACCTTGATACAATATTGCTGTGGAATAAGATACAGGGCGTTAATTTTGAACAATAGACTATACTGTCACAGCAAAAATACTTCAATGACAAGAAATGACATTTACCAGACACAATTATCTGACAGTCCAAAGCACAACGTTCATAAATGAAATAATATTTTTTAAATCTTCATCTGAGACTCGTGAACTGTTCAATTGCGTTGTTTCTCGAAAACAAGTGAAATTATCGTGTTTAAAAGTACAAATATATCGTAGAAATGATGTTTACGTCATATTTTTTAATCAAAAACACTAAAAAGTTTCGTCAAAAAGTTACCAGTTAATTTCATCAGTACGAATCATTCACGTGGCGCCCCCTGTAATAAAATGTGAAATAATACATAAAATAATGTTCCGTATCCAAAGATATGCCTCTGTGCCGATTTCATAAATATACAGTGACATTATCAGAAAAAGAAAACGAAAAAAAAAATCATTTTTAAAGCCGGGTCCAGATCAATAAATATTTACGTTATGCGTTGTATTTGACAAAAATTTACTCGTGTTCGTCAAAATATTTCTAGATGTGGACTGTAGGCCGCACAAAGAAACACGCAAATATTTGCGCCAGATACACGCTATCCACCGGTCTGTCGATTTTTCTGCTAACTTCAAAGAGATTTGCGTCGAACGACCCTCGAGTGGTTGTTTTAATGTGGACTTGAATATTTTTTAGTTTGTACTATTATTTCAATAACAATTATTGATACGCACGACGCACGAAAATGGATCGCAATAGATACACCAATACAACGCACATATTTGCGAGACAAAATCACAATAAAAAAAATATTTGGGCCGCAAATATTTTTGTCGAATTCAACACACAACATTCAATACAAAAATTTATTGATCTGGACCCGGCTTAACGCCCTGTATCTTATTCCACAACAATATGTTATTGAGGTATATTTGTCTGTCTGAATAATTTTGAATCATCCTGTATATCTCATCTGTTAGTGAACCTCATCTCAGAAGGTCTCACAGGTAATTTTTTAATCCAACACTAACTCTTATCGTAATTAGTGATAGACCTTTGCTTTGGCCCGAGGTAGGACTTCATCTTTGTCAAAATTGGTTTAGAAAAATTTAAAGGGCTTCAGGCCGCAGAGGTTAGGTAAATTTGGTATTTTTTCAAATTGTTCTCATTTTATGTATATTTTTTTGCGAAGCAACCCACGACATCTCCCAAGCCACAAAGGTTAGGTAAAATACATTGTTTTTTTTAATTAGAATACTAGGAAAATATATTTTGCATTTAGATTCAACCATTTGAGTTCATGTGTGGTATTAAAGTAGGTACCCACACTATGATAATAGGTTTGTTCCCGAATCGAGTTCCTAATATATATTGAGTATGCGCAGTACAAAATAACTCTTCCAACAGAGCAAAGTTCCAAACAAATTGAACTTGTTTGGTGTTTCCGCAAAAATAAAAAATTGTTCATAACATGTTTTTTTTATATTAATAGTTCTTTGATTAAAATCTTATACAGCGTTGTAACAGCAAATATAAAATAAAGAGGGTAGTTTTTATTTGACTAATTTTGAGTTCAGAATAAAGTATAACCTCAAAATCTTCTTTTTTAATAAATATAATCGAATGACCTGTATTTAGTTAAAACACATTTATTTTATTAACGTTCCAGCACACATTTATTTGGAACTCATTCAGAACATTATTCTGGTCACGCATGTGTATTATATAATGTTAGTAACAAGTTTAAAACACGCTTCGGGAACAAACCTAATACTATCAGGCACTTTACCGTGTCAGTTCATATCTGTAACATAAAACACTTCGTTTTTTGTTTAGTGCTAAATCTGAGGAATACGAGGTATTTTGAACAATTCGTTACTTCTTTCCAGCAACACAGTTTAGGTAAATTCGGGTTCAACGTTGAAAGCTTATCAACTTTTATAAAAAGCTTCTCTTCTATTGTGAACTATTTGTCTCCATTTCAGACCTTTCTTTTTTTTGGGGTGATAGTGTGGGAATACTGGTTGGGATTGTGCGAAACCGGTTTTCCCAATAAAACCACCCTTGCATTACCGTGTGCACGGTACCATTGTCGTTGGTTTTCGTTTGGTTATGCTTTTTTATGTTCTATTGTAGTAGTTGCACGATATCTTTTTTAACTCGATACTATGGTGTTGC